ATTGTTAACATAATAAAACATTTCAATGGTTTACTACTTCTTCTGGTTTACAGAAGCTTAAATGTGCGCTAGCTAGTATTTAGATGGTCTTTTTCTATGATATTAATAATGATCCTGATTTTTTGACAGTCTTTCTTACCGAAACTTATAACTTAACGTAATATTAAAGCATTTTTCACTAAAAAAGTACCTACTACCAGATAGTTAATTGTAAACTGTAGAGAGGTTAGAAACCAAAATGGAAAGTTAACAAGTATAAGCTTATTCAGATAAAAATAAGCGATTATCAATTACGATGATTTTCTAAAAATCGCTTTATGTGCACGTTTTATATGCATCTATGAGGCAGTCTTCATTCATTTCTTCCATTATTTGGAGGATTCCTTTGTTTCTCTTACAGATTTTTCTCATTTTCTGTGATATTTAGCTCATCATCTTCATCATCCAGCCTTCGTTTATCACGTCCACTACTGGATATAAGCCTGCCTTAAACTCTTTCATTCTTTACGATTTTGTGCTGTTTGTAGCCAATTTTTTGTGATACGACTGATATCGTCAGCCCAACGTGTACTCCCCCACCATAGACCGTTCCATTCGTCTCTGTGTCACTCAATTTCGAAGCTGTACTCGTGGTTAGAGTTATAGTTTCCACTCCATAGGTCATAACCGGTAATAAGCATTGGTCAAATACTTTTCTTTTGAGGCCAATTTGTATGTTAGCCCTAAGTGTGTCTCGCAGTTTTCCAAAGGCTGCCCACGCTAAAGTAACTCGTCTTTGGATTTCGCATGTTTGGTTATCCCTGCTGATTTTTATTTCATGACCCAAATACGTATATTTCTCCATAAGTTCTACCACTTTGTCTTGAATAGTTAAATGGTTATAGGGGACCATATTGTCATAAACTTAGTTTTGGTAAAGTTCATTCTGAGACCCACCTTCGAACGTGCAAATTCCAATTCATTTAACATGTCTATGGCTTCTCCTAAATTATATGTGATAAATACAATGTCATCTGAGAAACGCAGATGATTCAGTTTATTTTTGAAAATGTATCTCCTTGTCTTATCCCACGTTTTATTTTTATTGGTGGTGTTTTATCGTGTATCTTAACAGTTATAGTGGCATTTTTTAAATATGGTAAATAAGTTCACTATACCTATTGTCAATCCTGCTGTCATTCATTGCTTCTATAAGGCTGTCTATTTCGATCGTGTCGAACGCTTGATGAAAATCTATGAAAGTGAGGACAAGAGATCTGTTGTATTCCATAGATTTTTCAATGAGTGTCTTTACTATATGGAGGTGATCATTGGTACCATAATTTAAAGGAAATCCTGCCTGCTCTCTCGGTTGGTAGAAATCTAATTTTTTCTCCAATCTTATTGTCACTAACCTAGTGAAGAGTTTGTGTATGTGGTTCAACAAGCTAATAGGTCTATAAGTTTCTAGGTCCGTTGTATCTCCTTTTTATGTAAAAGGATGGTTATAGCATTGTTCCATTCCTTGGGCATATCTCTTTGCTGCATAGATTAAACCGTTTCCTGAATTTATTTAACAGCATATTTACTCAATTTGTCTTATATTACAATTTCATCCTCCCTTGGGGCTTTGTTATTTTTCATTTTTCTTAATGCTTGTCGAATCTCATCTACCTTTATCTCTGATATTAGTTCGGAACCGTGATTCATAAACTTGGACTATATGGACTTATTTCACTATCTGATTTTCTTTTAGGACAGTGTACTCGGTGACTTTCTTGTAAGGCGTTTATGATACAATTATTCAAGTCGTTAAGATCATTCTCGGAGGTTTCATGCAAAAATAGTTTATTATTGATATGTGCCTGATATTGGTTGATATCTAATGGGAGTGCCCAGATACCATGAGATTTATTTTTAATTATTATGTCCCTCTCTCTTTTTATGTTGATTTGGACTTTCGCTCGTATCTTTCTGCTACTAAGCAGCTACATAGCTACTGGATCCAAAATAAGGGTATTTCCAAATAAGTCGTTTAAAATAACTAATTACAAACATGTTCTTATTTCCTAAGGATTAATTTATCCACTTCTCTTCCAATTCTTTCCACGTTTTTCTGTAAAAAAGGGCAAAATTCATTTTTTTATTTGGATATCGTCTTGCCACAGTTTTTTTTTTTGGCATCTCTATCACTTTAAACCAACAGTTTAGGTCTCAACCTATCCAGAGGCTGTTATGTTATGTAACCAACCCATTGGTCTCAGTGGGCTACCTCAAATGTGGCACTTTCTCTTTAAATGGTTCCCAATATAACTCTTTGTATAGATCTCAGTGTTAACTGGTTATTAAAATGAAGTAATAATTGTAGCAAGACTTACATATGTGTATCAGTAAACGAATCCGAAAGAAAATTTGGAAAGAGGATTGGGAAAAAGATTAATTTTCCTAAAATTTAACAAAAACTTAAAATTCATACTCCCAAGGAGCTATTTCAACCAGTTTTATTGAACACTCCCTTTTTTTAATAAATCAGTGATTGCATTAAAAATATGCTTTCTTTATAATGAATTCTATGACAGTTTTATTTGTAAAGGTCACATATTGACTTGGCATATTTTTCCACACGTGCGAGGAATCCACAAGACAAAATATTTCACGCTCGTGTTAAACCTCACTCCGCTACGGAAGTTGAAACGTCGAGAAAATACCTTCCTTTATCATTCTACGCATATTTATATAATTAATGAGTGACCAAAACAGTCGTAAATATGAATTTTACTGTAGTGGAAGTTGTAGTGGAATTTTATCTAGTAAATTATCTATTAGTTGTAATTCATATTTGCTGCAAACCATCAAGGAAGATACGGAATGTCGTTTACTAATAAACAAGTCTTTAAAATTAAAACGAAAAAAAAGATTAATGAGGTGGAACATTTTCACATTGATCAAAAGAGTATAAAGCCACACATTAGGAGGATTAAAAACTAATCTATGGAAATTTATACAAAAAATTACAAGAAGATATAGACAGTATTCAATTCGATTTCCTACCCCTACTTCTGCTTCCCACAGATAGTGACATGTTCTGTTCTGCTGTGATCTTGCCAGATGTCCTGCCCATCTTAGTCTTCCTATTTTTATAACAGATACTACGTCTTTACCACCAAATATATGATTATATCTGTGATATATCTCGTAGTTATACCTCCTTCTCCAAACACCATTTTCACAGATACCACCGAATATTCTTCTAAGGATCCTTCATTTAAATATAAGCAGGAGATTTTCATCTGCCTTGGAAATGGTCCATGTCTCCGATCTATATGTCAACATTGGTTGTATAAGGGTTTTGAATATGGTTATTTTTGTTGTTTAGCTTAAATTCCTGCTTCTCGCATGTTGACTCAGTTCAAAATAGCATTTGTTTGCTAGGATTATTCTTCGCTTGATTTCTTCCGTCATGACGTTCTCCTTGGTGATCAGGGAGTTTAAGTATGTGAATTTGTCCACCACTTCAAAGGTAGAGTTATCAACCGTGAATTGGTGGCCGATGTTTCTGGCTCTATTGTTGGGTGTTGATGCTATTATCTTAGTTTTCTCCTCATTTACTTGCAGGCCCATATTTTTTGAGGCATTTGACAAGGTGGTATACATTTCTTCTAGCTTGTGTATTGCGCGGGCGCAACTAGGTCAACATCATCTGCATATGCCAAAATTTGGCATGATTTATTAAAAATGGTTCCTCTGTTGTCTATATGGGCATCCCTGACCGCCTTTCCCAGAGCTAAAAAGGAGACACGCCAGCGCATCTCCCTGTCGCAGCCCAACATGCGTTTCAAATGCATGTGATTGTTCGCCCTGTATTTCGACTTTGCAAACAACTTTGGTGGGAAAGAAAACAAGAGGAGGGCAATAAGAAATGGAGAAAGGAGTTACATTGGTTGTCTATGAAATCAAATAATAATTTTCTTAAGAAGTGAAAAAGGGTCAAAAGAAAAAGAAAACAAGATGTGAAATTTGGGTATCGATACGAAGAGATAAATGTGGAATTCAATACCTATAGCAAAATGAGATTATACAGAATAGCAAAATCTACTGTTTTGTTTTTGGAAGCATAACTTTCTTATCACGGGCTACGGACGGAGCGATGGATCCTGCAAAGGTATGATAAAAAAAAACGGATGTAACAACAGATCGAGCGAACTACAAATTGTATACCTATCATAGACGTCATCCTCAGGGCCCATTATCTTGTTCATTTTGTTTGTTTATTGTTAAGAAGGATGGTTTTCAGAATTAATCCTTTCGAAGAACCAGCGTGAACAATTATAAAAGGTTTACCATCATACGCCCCTGGTTTATGTACACTTTTAAGACTGTTGTCTTGCCAGGAAATTGTTTAATTTCCCTTTGAATAAATCCACGTTTAAGAATTTCCATATATTTACGAAGGAATTTGGATCTTAAAGCAGCAATACTGGTGCGTTCAATTAATACTCTTTTATTATTGTCCTTTTAGAGTAAATAGAGACATAAAAAGTAAATAGAAATAAAAGAAAAGACAGTTGAGATTTGATATGAGTACAAGAAACCAGTTCACCAAAGATTCTTGCTTAGATGAGTAGATATGTTGTGAAATGCAGTTTTTAGATTTCTCATGTCTTTCTTTTCATTCTTTTCATCGTCTGTTTTGACTTGCAATTTATAGAACACACAGATTTAAGCAAAAATCTGAAGTTTGGTTTCATCAATCAAGAAATCTTCGGATTTCTACTTTCTGGGTTTAATTAAATGTCAATTTAGAGATTAAAATAAATATATTGATAGACATATATACAAATAGACTGATCGCTGCAATACCTTAATATTCCCACAGTAGAGTTAGTACACCATGAATAAAACATTCTGGAAAAGATAATAACGAATTTCTTTGTAACAGTGTTTTTTTTCTATTATCCTTGTCTATATGATACTTTTTAGGATTCAAGACAGTACAAAATACAAATTTTCATTATTTTCAGAAAACCAGGTCCAGCAATATGGAGAAGTGAACCAACTAGGTGGTGTATTCGTCAATGGTAGACCTCTTCCTAACGCTGTACGATTGCGGATAGTTGAATTATCTCAAGTGGGTATTAGACCTTGTGATATCTCCCGACAGCTAAGAGTTTCTCATGGTTGTGTTTCCAAAATCTTGGCCAGGTACCACGAGACGGGATCCATACTGCCAGGTGCGATAGGAGGATCGAAACCTCGGGTGACAACGCCTAAAGTAAGTTGTTTTATATAGTTTTTTATCCAAAAATTCGCAATACGTTTTCAATTTAATATGGATACATTTTTTAATGAGCGATCTTGGATTGTGGTTGTGTTTCATTTGGGCAACTGGGACAATTCTTCGTCTAGGTTTTTTCTGCTCATTGCTTTTTTCATATTAGCTTCTCAACTTGTCTTTTATCTTTCTTGCTGCTTTTTTTGGTCAATTAGCCTCCAGTAAAAACCTCTTTAGTTATAAAACTAAATTTTTTATTGTGTTTGTAAAGAGAGTTTACGTACGTTTACGAATATGTAGAGAGAGTTTGTAAAGTTATTAAAAATAAAACATACAGATCTTGAAATTTTTAAGACCACATTTTTGTTTTCAACTGATAATACAGACAAATTTGAGATTTTTAAATTTCATATAACCGAAGATGTTCATAATTTTGGCAACATCGCAAGAACTTTTCACCTTTTGAACCCTTCATGTTTGTCTGGACACCAGATTGTCAGACCGTCTTCGCCGAACTGAAAATCCAACTAATTACTGCGCCAATTTTAGCATGGCCAAGAAGAGGGCGGCTATATCTGAAATTGATATGCGTCCATATGTGTACAAATACAAAATAACGAAGAAAACTGCATATTCTTCGGAGCGCAGTAAAATCCAGAGAAATTAATGAAATTAAACAAATTTGTAGTGAATATTATTCGTTGAAAAACCCTCTATAATATTGCTCTGTCATTTTATTGTAAAATGACAAAAAAAAATTCCTAAAAGAAAATTTGGTCAAAAATTTTTAGTTATTTTTGTTTATAACTTTTTTATTTTCCATTTTACGATTAAAAGTAATGTAGACAATTTAATTTGCTACTAATAATGTGATAAAATTGACTGTAGAGCTGCTAGTTTACGAGATATAGCGCGAAAACCCTTTGCACCTTTTTTTTTCACGATGGAGCGAGCACCTTTTCTGTTGAATAAATCCTTTTTGAGTTTTCATTGGCTTATAACAAGAATCTTAATCTATACATTCTTTGTATTTATAGGTCACCTGATTCTTTCACCCAATAAAAGCAGAAAGATTCTATTCGGTGACTTGAATATTAATCACGCTTTGGCTTGTGCTACCCAATTATTCTTGGTCAATATATTCGAATCATATGTTTTCACAATGCACGTTAATTCTTTTACAAGAATTACTAAAACAAGATTTATCTTAATTGATTATATTGTCCAAGTTTTATCACCCCTTGATGTACGTTATTCAAGGTACAAAACAGAGTGTCAAGGTCTTTTCAAACACATACTGGATTACACTAGGGAGACAGTCTATCGTGCCTATTGTTTAACATCGCGCTAGAAAGAGCCATAGAGAAATCGGGCATAACAACCAGAGGTACGATCATCAATAGAAGTGTACAGATATTGGCCTACGCAGATGACATAGTAACACGGACAAAAAGAGACCTGATACAAGCTTTTGAAACATTAGAAAAAACCCGGAAGCCGTATCCAAAACAAAATGCATGACGGTCCCGAACAGCAAGCAAACAGCGGCACCACAAAATCTGGTGACAGAAGCATACACATTCGAAGGGGTCTCGGAGTTTATATATCTTGGAACACTACTAAATAACAGCAACCTAGTAAGCGTAGAAATTAAGAGAAGAATATACCTGGCGAACAAAGCTTACTTTGGACTAAAGCAGTGCTTAACATCAAACATAATTAGCAGAAAACCCAAGATACTAATATATGAAACTCTTATTAAAGCTGTCCTGACATACGCGTCAGAGACATGGTCTATGGTAAAAAAGCGACAAAGAACTGGTAGGCCGCTTTGAAAGACGAACGGAGGAGTACAAGAAAGCAGGATATGAAATGCTATGAAAAATGCAACATCGTCCGGTCTATTAAAATTAATAGACTAAGGTGGCTAGGACACCTTAAAAGAATGGACACTGGATACCCCTAAAGACAGATATTATATCAAGAGCCAGTAGGAACCAGGAAAAGAGACAGGCCATGATCTAGATTTAAAACTTAAGTCGAAGATGACTTAAGGAATCTAGGGGTCAGAAATTGGAAAGCCAGGGCGAAAGATAGGGGGGAATGGAGACTAATTCTTGAACAGGCCAAGATCCACCCATGGTTGTAGAGCCAAAGATTATGATGATGATGTACGTTCTACAATTATTAATGCAGGAATCTCTGACCATCAAGCATCGAAATCCTCGAAAACCCAACGTTTAGGTACGATTTTTCAGCCCAGAACTTTCGTATATACCAAAATTTGTGCTTGACTTCTGGGTGGCACTTTCCTCTGTGGACGTGGACTATAATTTCAGTGATTTTTTTAGATAAGCTTGTCTGTATTTTGTAATATCTCTGTAACAAAGATATCTGCATATCAGTCAAAAATATTCGTTCACTACTGTACATTAATGTCTTTCTCACTGAATATATCTCCAAGTATAGAGGAACCTATCTAAACGTATCAAAACAGCTAAAAATGTACTATGAGAATCGTCTGGGAAGCTCTAAAAATGTTGCAAGGGAAACTTGGTCCATAATAGACAATCTTCGAAATAAAACTAATACAGCTCGAATATTTTCTCTTCCGAACGCTGAAAATATAAATGAATACTTGGTTAATATGAGTAAAAATATAACATTGCCACAACAAGATCCTATTTCATATGTCCCCAATTCAAAAAAGCTCTCGAATTCGTTATTTATGAGACTAGTTGATAATTCTGAAGTGATCCAAACAATCAGAGTAATAGCAAAAGCAATACCTCCTGTAGTATAGTGGACTATCCATAAAAGTTTTCTTACATTCCCCAAATAATGTGTTGGAAGTCCTGGTCTCACTAATTAACGATTCCGTTGAAAAAGATATATTTCCAGATTGCCTAAAGACAGCCATTATTATTCCTTTTCATAAAGGTGGTGAAAAATCGAATGTCTGCAACTATAGACCTATTTCCTTACTGCCGGTCCTATTCAAAATTATTGAAAGACTAATAAAGACATAAGTCCGACTTATGTCCTTTCTCAATATTGTTCTGAAGCTATTTTCTTGTGGCATTTTAAATTAATTACTATTTAACTGGGAATAAGCCACAATTAAAGATAAAAATACGTTTATTGACGTTTCAATTTCCACTTCGGAAACCGTTCTCAAAATACAAACTGTTTGTATCTTGACCTCATTAAGGTACTCACGGGTAGATCTTGCTGTATGACAATGTGCATTGTCATGCATTAGTCTGAAGTTATCACCAATGAATGATGCAAAAGGCATGACATGGGCTTGGAGAACTTTTTGCACGTATACTTTCACACTGCCTCTACCGAACACAACAAGATCAGTACGCCCTTCGTAAGAAATACCTCGCCAAAATCATTATTGACCCTCCTCGGTTATAGCGCATGCAGCAAAACTTTCATTGTGTGTCCTATAGACACGTTGGCGTCCATCTGGACCTTTTAGGGCTATTCTACTCTATGAGAACAGTATATTCTTCCATTCCGCCATAGTCCAGTTAGCATATTCTCGCGCAAAATGAAGTCTAGCCCTACTGTGTTGTGGGAGCAGTTGTAGTGCACGAGCTGGACGAAAAGTTTATTTCTGACAGTTTTCTTCTAATCGTTTGTCTAGTCACACTAACGTTTCTCACCTCAAGAAGAGAACTACGAGCTTCAGAAGCGGTGCAACAGTGATTTCTCAATACATTAGTGACAATGAAGCGGTCATCTCGAACTGAAGTGCATCGTTTTCGGCCTTGACCTGGCCTACGGCTGTACGATGCTGTCTCCCGAAATTGTCTGATGGCATCTTTTACCGTAGTTCTGAGTACATCGAGTATACCAGCGATATGACGTTGACTGTAACCAGCGTCAACTAAAACCACTGCCCTATCAGCATCAGTTGGAACCAGTTGCATCTTTAAACACACAAACAATAAATAAGCACTAAGCACTAAAATGTCAAAAATCCTTCGATGACACAAATTTAAGAAACAAACTGTCACAAGTAATATAAACAAAACAATAATAAAGGTGGTGGGGTTAATTTTGCTGGTGAGTTAAATCATCTGCATTGATGAAAAACATGGCTAGTTGTTAAACTACCTAACTTTTGTATTATCCAACATAAGCGAATGAATCAAAAAACAAAATGTTGAGAAAACATGAAGCTATAGTTAGGTTTTAATTTCAATATTTTATAAATGCTAGAATATTCCACAGGGTGATGAAAAAAACACTGTTTAATTCGTACACCCGGTATACAATGAAAATTTACCTGTTTAGCAACCATATTATTATAACGATATTGTCAAGGAACAAGGCTATAACATATTAAAAAAATCTGAACAATCAAAAAACTTATTTCTCCTACTTTTGTCGTGTTATTCATTGTCACGGAGATAATAAAACATGTAACGAAGAATTATCACATAAACACCATTCTCAAACAACTTTCCATGCGCAAATTTTTCAATTCATATATTTCTCTGCGGAAACTCATTCAAACTATCATGGTTTACGCTGTCACTTACTAAAATTTATTGTTTGTTAATATCTTTAGGGCCTTCTCCACCTCATCTATTGTGGGCGTTTCCACATGTTCCTCATTTATAAAACTACTGTCGGTAGGTCGGCTTTCTAGTGTTTCACAAACATATTCCAAGAAAACCTTTCTCTTAGGCGCTTCCTTCAGTTAGAAGCAACAATACGGGACTGAAAAGATATTATTCGGGACAAAATTCATGTTACAGTCATAATTTTTATGATTGTCTTCATCTGTAAATAAAATTGCGAATGAAAAACAGTTTAGACAAATGGCAGATTCCAGGGGTGTGCAGTGAAATTTAAAAAAAGGGAAGCAATTTATATAAAGACTGTCAAAACTCACCTATTTAGGGTAGACCGGGGGAATCCCGACACCTTAAGACAATTTGAATTTTCAGATTTATTCAATATTAGTTCGATTTTTTCTGAAAATACCTATACAATAATTGGAATTTTCTGCATCCATTGGGTATGTAACATTAGTAAAACAATTAACAAAACAAAGTTCCGTAAATTGACAAAAGCCCATCTATCTGAAAGACCATATTATTCAGTGGAAGAGTTTCTTAACGAATAATTAAGAAATTACAGTACGTTTAGGTACAAGAACAAAGTATTTTTATATATTTGGGTATCACATGCAGCAGCTTAAACTTATTCGTAAACTAGTCCGTAAGGTTTTATTATGAAATTTGCAGTTTAGTTAAATTTTGCAATGGATAAAATATACAATTTTATTATGTGTTATTTTGTAATATTGACGATTTATGTAATTTTAGTAAATTTTAATCGTTATTGTTATTTTTTTGACTTTTTGTAAGCTTTGCCTATAAAATTGTACAATTTTCAGTGACAATAAAGCATCTATTCTATTCTAATAGATTTTTAACACACATCTATCATAAAAAATTGTAAAGACTTGTTTTATAATTACCTACTCTTCATTAAAATTAATCTTCAATTACATAGTTTTTCCATTAATTACTGCATGTTACAGATATTGTAACCAATGTTTTGAAAAAGGAGTAAATAACATTTGCCATAATTAAATAATTCTCTTTTTGTTACAGGTAGTGGCCTACATAAAGAAACTAAAACAAAAAGACCCAGGCATCTTCGCTTGGGAAATCAGAGACCGCCTGCTCTCCGACGGAGTCTGCGACAAATACAACGTGCCTTCAGTCAGTTCAATAAGTAGGATACTAAGGAATAAAATAGGTTCTCTAGTTCACACCCAGCCGTACAATCACCCGTCCTACACATCAATGTATCCCACATATCCATACCCGCAACAAAAACTCTCCCCTCCGCCCACACAAAGGCACAACACCCTCCATTGCTGGCCGAGTTCTCATTCGGTCACCGATATCCTCGCCGGAGTCCAAGCGGCTAGTTGTTATAGACGATCTCACAATAATTCATCACCCACTCCGTTACCGAACTTACTGACGGGAGTACAAACTGGTTATAGAGGGTCCCACGGGAATCCCCCAGCTTCTTCACTGTCTGACGTATTAACGTCGGGGACACCTCCGAGAGGTGTGGATCATTTCTCGCAAAACTACAATTATTATATGTATTTTCAATCAGGCAATACGTCAACAGCGATGCATATGGTGAATGGTGGTATGGGAACGATGCCTCTGGCTGGATCTCAAATCTAATACCAAACGCCACACTGGAGCGACATTGAGCAAGTTTTGATTCAAGACAAACGCGTGTTTCCACAAAAGTTCATTTTAACGATTTTACCAAGATTTTATACCGGTTACGGGTCACTTTTATAGGTGTTCTGGGATTTTCTTTTTCTAATTTTTTTTCTCACTACTTAGAACGATCTTGCTAAAGTTTGTACACAAAATGCTACAAAGACGACTTTAAAATGAACTACTTTGGAGTTAACAATTTGGTTCGTTTAGTATCGAAACCGCAAAAAAATGCCTGCGTGACGTTATCAAAATGTGGCGCACCAGTAAGATTACCCGAGAATACTTACTCGTTCGGAATGTATATAATGTATAGAAGTTTCGTGATAGTAGATATTGAGTACATTGAGAAAAAAAATCTTTTTAATATAAGGCACGTTCAAAAAGTGAGAATTTAATATATTTGAGTGAAATTTACATTTTTCTATATAAACTCCATGCAGTCTTTAAATACTCTACTTTTATACCTACCGTTGTTGGAACCTGTTTTTCACAGTCTACGTCACCGGAATATGCTGTCCACCTTCAAAACTTCATATTATGCGTGAAAAGTGCTCTTTAAAAGAATATGTGTCTTACAAACTACTTTTCGGTACTGTTTTTGTGGTTTTTTATCAACATTACATTAATTTATACAATGTGCCTTTGGGGCGTTCCTACCTTGTACATTTCGTCCCAAAAAAACTAAAAAATTGTTGTAATTTAAGATGAAGTGCCTAATTTTGATATTCCACATACTGTTTTGTAAAATAAATACACTTATTGTTTTCTAATTTTAAGAAAGTGACTTGTCGTTTTACTATTTATGAATATAAAAAATAATAAAATCTATATCCGATTTTTGCTGTATTTTTATATCCAAATAATAATAAGAATATATGAAATAGACGAAAGACATGGAGAACTGATTATGACAAACAGGTAAGACTTTTTTTGTTTGGTATTTTTATACTCTTAACATTACTGGTACATTAGAATAACAAAGCAGTTCCTAAATATGCTAGCTTTTTTATAGCTCTCCTATGTGTCTTCAAACATTCCAGGATAATCCCAAAACATATAATGCCCTTAAGTCTTTCAGGATCTACTAAAATATTTCAATCTTTTCCAGAATTTCCTAAAACATTCCAAGCTAATCCTTAACTCTAACAGAGACACCTAAAAAATTCCAGCCCTTCGTTGTTCTGTGAAAAATTCCGAAGCAATCCCCAAATATTCCAGACTACTCTGGAAAGGTCCAGGACAATCATTAAATGTGAGTTTTACCCTAAAATCTTCTATAGAATCGCCTATAACATTCCAGGCAGTCCTCAGAGCTTCATAAACTGTATTGAGCAGCTTTAAGATACTTTGCATCTCTCCAGAGACCCTTATAACTTTTCAAGCTGCTGTTACATTATTCAAAGACCCTTAATACATTTTAAAATCATCCGGAAACCGCCTAGCGCATTCTAGACACTCTTCAGAATTTCATAAAAAAATATTCTACACTGATCCAAATTTCTTCAGAGATTAACTTTTTAAGCTAATCTGATGTCTTCAAAAAACGCTTAAAATATTCCAGACTCCCCAGTACTCCTTAAAATATTTCAATAGCTCTGAAGAGTCTTCTGAAACTTTTTAAGTTCCAGAAACTTCTAGAACATGCTAGACAGTCCTCAGAACTTCATAAATGATTCTAAGATTCTTCAAGACATTTCTCCGGACCCCTTAAAACTTTTCCAGCTGCTCTGAAGTCTTCCAGAGACCCTTACAGAAATTGCAGACTCCTCTTTAGTTCTCAGAAGTCCTTAAAATACTTCAATTAGCTCTTAAGGATCTTCTGAAACTTTCCAAGTTGCTCTAAAATCATCCAGAACTCACTAAAGAATTCCTTACTGCTCCAAAGTTCGTCGGTGTCCTCTAAAAAATTTCGATACTGTCCCCAAAAATTCCAGACCACACCGAAAAGGTAAAGAACGATCACTAGATATATTTCACTTTACTCTGTAATATTCTAAACTGCTCAAGATTTCTCCAAAGTCTTCTAAGTTGCACTGAAGTCTTCCATAGACCTCTAAAATATATAGTGCTGCTCTGAAATTTTTTAAGTTTCCTTAAAGCTCTCATAAATGACCTTATTTTCACTCAAAATGCCTTAAACTTTCCAAGAGATCTTGTGAGTCCCCTAAAACGTTCCAAACCGTCCTAAAATCTTCCTGTAAACTCCGAAAATAATGAGAGAATATTAAATAGACGACATAAGGAACTTATTTTGACAAAAACAGGTAAGACGTTTTTTCTTTTGGTATTTTTATACTCTTCCAGAACCGCCTAAAACATTCCAGGCAGATCTCAGAGCTTCATAAACTATTTTGAGCTGCTTCAAGATACTCTGCATTTCTCCAGAAACCCTTATAACTTTTCAAGCTGCTGTTACGTCTTCTAGAGACCCTTTATACATATTCTAGCACATTCTAGACACTCCTCAGAATTTCATAAAATATTCTAAACTGCTCCAAATTTCTCCAGAGATCCTTATAACTTTACAAGCTGACCTGAAGTCTTCCAAAAACGCTTAAAATATTCCAGATTACCCTGTACTCCTCGTGCTCCTTAAACTATTACAATTAGCTATGAAGAGTCTTGTGAAACTTTCTAAGTTATTCTAGAATCATCCAGATCTCATAAAAGAATTCCGTACTACTCCAAATTTCTTGGTATCCCCAGAAAAATTACTGCTACTCCGAAAAGGTCATGAACGTCACTACATGTTTTATTTTACCCTAAAATCTTCCAGAACGTCTTAGAACATGTTGGACAGTCGTCAGAACTTCATAAAATATTCTAAGCTTCTTCAAGACATTTCTCCAGAGCCCTTATAACTTTTCCAGCTGCTCTGAAGTCTTCCAGAGACCCTTAAAATATTGCAGACATCCCTTTAGTCCTTAGAACTCCTTAAAATACTTCAATTAGCTCTTAAGATTCTTCTGAAACTTTCCAAGTTGCTCTAAAATCATGCAGAACTCACTAAAGAATTCCTTACTGCTCCAAATTTCGTCGGTGTTCTTTAGACAATTTCGATACTCTCACCAAAAATTTCAGACCACTAGGAAAAGGTCAAGGACGATCACTAGATATATTTCACTTTACTCTGTAATATTCTAAGTTACTACAATTTTCTTCAAAGTCCTATAACATTTGTGAGGCCCTTAAAATATTACAGACACTCCTCTAGTTCTCAGAACTCCTTAAAATATTTTAATTAGCTCTGAAGAATTTTAAATTCTCCAAATTTCGTTGGTGTCCTCTAAAAAATTTCGAAACTGTTCCAAAAAATTCCAGACCACTCTGCAAAGGTCCAGGACGATCACTAGATATATTTCACTTTACTCTGCAATATTCTAAGCTGCTTAAAATTTAAAAGAGTCTTATAACCTTTCGAGCTGCACTGAAGTCTTCCATAGACCCCTAAAATATATCGTTCTGCTCTGAAATGTTCCTTAAAGCTCTCATAAATGATAAAAATAACCTTATTTTCACTCGAAATGTCTTGAACTTTCCAGGATATCTTGTGAGTCCCCTAAAACGTTCCAAACTGTCCTAAAATCTTCCTGTAAACTACCAAAAATTGCTGAGCGCTCCTTAAATAATTCAGGTTTTTCTAAACCGTTTTTTACACCAGACACTGCACTAAAGCCCGTAGAACACCCTAAAATATTTCAAGCTACTATGCAGCTTATCAAAGACACCTAAATCAATCGTGATTGCTAGAAACTTCCCCAAGATCTCTGGAAACTTAACAAAAATTCCGAAACTTGCCGCATCTAAGATTTCCAGGACTTCCTAAACCAGTCCAGACTTTCCCGAAGTCTTGAGAGCTGATTAAAAGCTGGTCAGAGCCACCTAAAATTTTCAAACATCTCTGGATACCACTGGTGCCCCTTGAAAGATTCCAAGACTGTCCTAAGAAATACCAGACTACGTCCTAGACCTATTTAAAATATACCAGACTGTATTGAACCCACTAAAATCTTCTAATCTACACCAAAGTCCTTTATGTCTTCCAAACCTTCCAACTTGCTCTAAAATATTCAGGTAGTCTGAAACATTTTGAGACAACCCCCAAACATTTTATTCTACTGTGAACTCTTCCAGAGCCTTCTAAATTATTCTACAGTCTAGATGTCCTCAAAATTTCTTAAAACGTTCCAAACTGCTCTTGAATTCTTCGGAGCTTTCTAAAACACACCAATTTTCTCGATGGTTAAGAGTTTTTAACTCCAGACTTTCTAAAACAGTTCAGACAGCTCTGAATTCTTCCGGCATCCTTTGAAAAATTCCTGGACAGTCTCAAACTATTCCAAAACACATTTCCAGTAGGTACACGTAAATGTTTTATTATGAAGTTTTCCGGGATCCTTAAAACATACCCCAGACTTCCTATACCTAATGTTTCAAATTTTTCTGAAGTTAAACAGACTCCCCTAAAATATTTCGAACTACTTTAAAGTGTTCGAGGGACCTTAAAACATTTGATTTTGCTCTAATACCTTCAAAATCTCCTACAAAATTCCGAATTGCTCTGAAATCCTCCTCTGTCACATGAAACATTCCTATCTAGATATATTTATAGTTAATCTGTAGATTCTTGTTATTTTCACACAAACTCTTTACGCATTTCAATTTTTGCGAAGCAAGAAAGTCGTCTAATAAATCCATCAACTTTAAACTGATCTTGATTAGTACAAACGAGACGAGATGACAGAATGACGTCCGCTAAGGTGGCATACAAAGTTACCCGCCTTGTCTATCAGTAGGAACACACCGTGACAAGTTGGCACGCCTAAGTAAGGCGCTTCGCCCCAGTGCAACCATGTGTACTTACAGAAGATTCGTTGCAGTGCGTGTCACAGTATACATGTATTCGTTAAAGTGGCATTTCTTTTAATTATTAGTGAGCAGTTTAACTTTGTCACGGATTTCGATCAAAGGAAAAGAAAAAATAGAAAATTAGAAAAACTGTTTGACTCTATATAAAAATAATAAGTAAAAAAAAACCATATAAGATACATTTATTAATTAATTGAAGAAGGAGAAACGAAATATTGAGTAAACTAATGAAAATAATATTATTTTTAAATTGTTTTCTTCTTATAATAGCAGGTTATTTTTATCCATCAACTTTTATAAATTTATATTTTAAATACTTTAAGCTTATTTTACTGCCATGAATTGTTCCAAATAAATAAAACCTTTATATAAAATACAAAATAATTCGAGGATTTAGGAGAATGGTGGGGATATCGAATATAGAATACAGGTTGAAATTTACACTAACCAAAATATAAGATAATTATAATAAATAAAGAAAAAAAACTAATAAAAACATAATCCTACTATATTCAAGACTTTTATTTTTTACCTTAAAATCATCTCTGCAGTTTGAAATCATTCATAAATTTTTTTTGTATTTTGCATTCGGGTTCAACCTGAGAATTAGATTACCCTCTATACCTACACGAATCATATTAGTGTATACTTTTAGGCGTACAAGTATAATATTCGGAGTTCATAACTGATTTTTTTATAAAATAAAAGAAGTAAAGTAAATAACTTAGTTGTTTTTAAACATTATTGTAAAGAGTATTAATCTTATAATGTAGATGTTGCCTCCTATTTATAGGAAAATATTTTGACACTAAATAGATCGCACCGTCGAAGGCCACAGCTGTTCCTAACCTAACATTAGATGACGTTTAGTTTGTTGACGTTTCAAAAAGAAAATACTAATTTAATCTACCTTAAAATATTATTTTTCCTACAATTTCCACGTACCTCTAAATAGTTTTCACAATG